CTCGTTCAGTATTCGTACATGTATCGCCAGAAGCGCTAAACCCTCTATGCACGGACTTTCGGCCACTCCGGGACGGACTTCGCGAAGCTTCTGAGGCTTCCTTCACCGGTGCCAGCTCCGACATCTCCGTAGCTCAGAGCGAAGCTCCGTCCGGTGCTGCAGGTAGGTTCGACCACTTCCGCGCTGCAGACCTTCAACTACGTGCCCGGGCGCCTAGCAGTAGCCCTCCTTGGAGCAGAGCGGAGCTCATGCGGAAGGGACGCGTGCGCTTCAATCCACCGGTTTGCGAACCTGCTGCAGAGCCGATCCTCGTGAGCTCGCCACTGGAGGCCTTCCGCAGCGGACGTGGCTCTCGTCTTCCGGGTCATCGCCGACAACTTCAAGACCCAGGTCTCTGCGAAAGCCTAAGACCGCTCTCTTGAAGCAGTGGAGTGCACGAGAGAGCTTACCCCCCAAAGAAGAATGTGTGGCAATATGCCAGCGATCATGCTCTCCCCGAGTTTCGATTCCGTTTGCCTTCTTACACCGTGTATGGGAAACAGCTGCCTCTGTTCTGACTACTTGTTCCCCTGCAAAGCCTACACCCGACACCCTGTACTTCTCAATATAAGTGCAGTGTACAGTGTTACAGTGAACGGAAAAGAAGCTCCACGTACAATGCATGGATATGTTGAGCCACAAATCTGCAGGGCAGTGTACTCCATATGTTTTCGATTCCGTCATTAAGCTCACTCACCGATATAATTTTTCTTATGTCGTGTACGGGACATCTATGTCTCGTTCAGTATTCGTACATGTATCGCCAGAAGCGCTAAACCCTCTATGCACGGACTTTCGGCCACTCCGGGACGGACTTCGCGAAGCTTCTGAGGCTTCCTTCACCGGTGCCAGCTCCGACATCTCCGTAGCTCAGAGCGAAGCTCCGTCCGGTGCTGCAGGTAGGTTCGACCACTTCCGCGCTGCAGACCTTCAACTACGTGCCCGGGCGCCTAGCAGTAGCCCTCCTTGGAGCAGAGCGGAGCTCATGCGGAAGGGACGCGTGCGCTTCAATCCACCGGTTTGCGAACCTGCTGCAGAGCCGATCCTCGTGAGCTCGCCACTGGAGGCCTTCCGCAGCGGACGTGGCTCTCGTCTTCCGGGTCATCGCCGACAACTTCAAGACCCAGGTCTCTGCGAAAGCCTAAGACCGCTCTCTTGAAGCAGTGGAGTGCACGAGAGAGCTTACCCCCCAAAGAAGAATGTGTGGCAATATGCCAGCGATCATGCTCTCCCCGAGTTTCGATTCCGTTTGCCTTCTTACACCGTGTATGGGAAACAGCTGCCTCTGTTCTGACTACTTGTTCCCCTGCAAAGCCTACACCCGACACCCTGTACTTCTCAATATAAGTGCAGTGTACAGTGTTACAGTGAACGGAAAAGAAGCTCCACGTACAATGCATGGATATGTTGAGCCACAAATGTGCAGGGCAGTGTACTCCATATGTTTTCGATTCCGTCATTAAGCTCACTCACCGATATAATTTTTCTTATGTCGTGTACGGGACATCTATGTCTCGTTCAGTATTCGTACATGTATCGCCAGAAGCGCTAAACCCTCTATGCACGGACTTTCGGCCACTCCGGGACGGACTTCGCGAAGCTTCTGAGGCTTCCTTCACCGGTGCCAGCTCCGACATCTCCGTAGCTCAGAGCGAAGCTCCGTCCGGTGCTGCAGGTAGGTTCGACCACTTCCGCGCTGCAGACCTTCAACTACGTGCCCGGGCGCCTAGCAGTAGCCCTCCTTGGAGCAGAGCGGAGCTCATGCGGAAGGGACGCGTGCGCTTCAATCCACCGGTTTGCGAACCTGCTGCAGAGCCGATCCTCGTGAGCTCGCCACTGGAGGCCTTCCGCAGCGGACGTGGCTCTCGTCTTCCGGGTCATCGCCGACAACTTCAAGACCCAGGTCTCTGCGAAAGCCTAAGACCGCTCTCTTGAAGCAGTGGAGTGCACGAGAGAGCTTACCCCCCAAAGAAGAATGTGTGGCAATATGCCAGCGATCATGCTCTCCCCGAGTTTCGATTCCGTTTGCCTTCTTACACCGTGTATGGGAAACAGCTGCCTCTGTTCTGACTACTTGTTCCCCTGCAAAGCCTACACCCGACACCCTGTACTTCTCAATATAAGTGCAGTGTACAGTGTTACAGTGAACGGAAAAGAAGCTCCACGTACAATGCATGGATATGTTGAGCCACAAATCTGCAGGGCAGTGTACTCCATATGTTTTCGATTCCGTCATTAAGCTCACTCACCGATATAATTTTTCTTATGTCGTGTACGGGACATCTATGTCTCGTTCAGTATTCGTACATGTATCGCCAGAAGCGCTAAACCCTCTATGCACGGACTTTCGGCCACTCCGGGACGGACTTCGCGAAGCTTCTGAGGCTTCCTTCACCGGTGCCAGCTCCGACATCTCCGTAGCTCAGAGCGAAGCTCCGTCCGGTGCTGCAGGTAGGTTCGACCACTTCCGCGCTGCAGACCTTCAACTACGTGCCCGGGCGCCTAGCAGTAGCCCTCCTTGGAGCAAAGGAGCTCATGCGGAAGGGACGCGTGCGCTTCAATCCACCGGTTTGCGAACCTGCTGCAGAGCCGATCCTCGTGAGCTCGCCACTGGAGGCCTTCCGCAGCGGACGTGGCTCTCGTCTTCCGGGTCATCGCCGACAACTTCAAGACCCAGGTCTCTGCGAAAGCCTAAGACCGCTCTCTTGAAGCAGTGGAGTGCACGAGAGAGCTTACCCCCCAAAGAAGAATGTGTGGCAATATGCCAGCGATCATGCTCTCCCCGAGTTTCGATTCCGTTTGCCTTCTTACACCGTGTATGGGAAACAGCTGCCTCTGTTCTGACTACTTGTTCCCCTGCAAAGCCTACACCCGACACCCTGTACTTCTCAATATAAGTGCAGTGTACAGTGTTACAGTGAACGGAAAAGAAGCTCCACGTACAATGCATGGATATGTTGAGCCACAAATCTGCAGGGCAGTGTACTCCATATGTTTTCGATTCCGTCATTAAGCTCACTCACCGATATAATTTTTCTTATGTCGTGTACGGGACATCTATGTCTCGTTCAGTATTCGTACATGTATCGCCAGAAGCGCTAAACCCTCTATGCACGGACTTTCGGCCACTCCGGGACGGACTTCGCGAAGCTTCTGAGGCTTCCTTCACCGGTGCCAGCTCCGACATCTCCGTAGCTCAGAGCGAAGCTCCGTCCGGTGCTGCAGGTAGGTTCGACCACTTCCGCGCTGCAGACCTTCAACTACGTGCCCGGGCGCCTAGCAGTAGCCCTCCTTGGAGCAGAGCGGAGCTCATGCGGAAGGGACGCGTGCGCTTCAATCCACCGGTTTGCGAACCTGCTGCAGAGCCGATCCTCGTGAGCTCGCCACTGGAGGCCTTCCGCAGCGGACGTGGCTCTCGTCTTCCGGGTCATCGCCGACAACTTCAAGACCCAGGTCTCTGCGAAAGCCTAAGACCGCTCTCTTGAAGCAGTGGAGTGCACGAGAGAGCTTACCCCCCAAAGAAGAATGTGTGGCAATATGCCAGCGATCATGCTCTCCCCGAGTTTCGATTCCGTTTGCCTTCTTACACCGTGTATGGGAAACAGCTGCCTCTGTTCTGACTACTTGTTCCCCTGCAAAGCCTACACCCGACACCCTGTACTTCTCAATATAAGTGCAGTGTACAGTGTTACAGTGAACGGAAAAGAAGCTCCACGTACAATGCATGGATATGTTGAGCCACAAATCTGCAGGGCAGTGTACTCCATATGTTTTCGATTCCGTCATTAAGCTCACTCACCGATATAATTTTTCTTATGTCGTGTACGGGACATCTATGTCTCGTTCAGTATTCGTACATGTATCGCCAGAAGCGCTAAACCCTCTATGCACGGACTTTCGGCCACTCCGGGACGGACTTCGCGAAGCTTCTGAGGCTTCCTTCACCGGTGCCAGCTCCGACATCTCCGTAGCTCAGAGCGAAGCTCCGTCCGGTGCTGCAGGTAGGTTCGACCACTTCCGCGCTGCAGACCTTCAACTACGTGCCCGGGCGCCTAGCAGTAGCCCTCCTTGGAGCAAAGGAGCTCATGCGGAAGGGACCTGCTTCAATCAAGGTTTGCAAACCTGCTGCAGAGCCGATCCTCGTGAGCTCGCCACTGGAGGCCTTCCGCAGCGGACGTGGCTCTCGTCTTCCGGGTCATCGCCGACAACTTCAAGACCCAGGTCTCTGCGAAAGCCTAAGACCGCTCTCTTGAAGCAGTGGAGTGCACGAGAGAGCTTACCCCCCAAAGAAGAATGTGTGGCAATATGCCAGCGATCATGCTCTCCCCGAGTTTCGATTCCGTTTGCCTTCTTACACCGTGTATGGGAAACAGCTGCCTCTGTTCTGACTACTTGTTCCCCTGCAAAGCCTACACCCGACACCCTGTACTTCTCAATATAAGTGCAGTGTACAGTGTTACAGTGAACGGAAAAGAAGCTCCACGTACAATGCATGGATATGTTGAGCCACAAATGTGCAGGGCAGTGTACTCCATATGTTTTCGATTCCGTCATTAAGCTCACTCACCGATATAATTTTTCTTATGTCGTGTACGGGACATCTATGTCTCGTTCAGTATTCGTACATGTATCGCCAGAAGCGCTAAACCCTCTGCAGGTGAGCCCATGTGATGTGCAGGAAGCATGGCCCCTGCGCAAGAACGAAACGCCATGATCGATGGCTCAAGTGCGTGAAAGATTCCAGTGATGAGGTCTGATTTTGGGGTTCAGGATTTGATTGATCGGATGAGCCTTGAGACCTCCGGATGGCGAGCAATTATAACCCGTTAGATGATGTTCCTTTTCAGATTCGGCGGAACCTTGGAAGTCCCGCTCCTTCGCATTTTAGTGTACTTGACGCTACGCCTCCTCACCAAGAGGTTATGAGCCCAAGGGCTCCCCTTGGGCAAAACTCCGCAACCATGCAGCAGCACGGACAACAAACGGCAGCAACAGCATCAGCAGCGAACATTGCAGCGGACGGATCAGTTATCTTCAGGAGTCTATCTCAAGTAGTACTTCCTGCGGAGTTGGTGTCGCGACTGCAAGCGTTGCAGGGTCTGGAGCTAGGCCAGCTGGCGGATCTTGATCACATCCGACAGGGTATGCAAGCATTGGCCGATGAGCTAGTGCGGCGTTCCGAGTTGCTTGGACAGTGCGTCCAAAGGGCCGCGGAAGGCACTTTGGAGGATAGGAGAAACCTTCAGAGTCTGCACCATTCGATGCAAACTCTGCAGCAGAACGATGCGCATCATCAGAACAAAGTTGCCTCCTTGATATCAGAGCATGAACGCACGATGAAGCTTCTTGCTGAGTTTGAGGTGGGCATGAAGAGTAAGTGGGCTGAGACTGCACAGAGGACTACATCCCTAGAGGAGAGATTTGAAACCTTTCTGGCTGCACAGACCGGATTGCGTGGAGATCTAGAGAGTCGTGTTGGTCAATCGGCCGGAGAGCAGCAAGAGCTCCTGGTTGGTATGCTTGAGAGGCAGGCAACAGCATTGGAGCATGCAACAGCAAAGCAAGCAAGGCATGAAGAGCAAATTGAGCAGCTAAGGCAAAGTCTTGATAGGACGCAGTCTGAAGCTGCCCGAGTGAGGGAGAAGTATGAGGATGACTTGAAGACCACCCGATGGGTGGTCGATCGGGTCACCAGACTGGAAATGCTGGTAGAGGAGTTGCGGACCAAGGACGCAGCGATCCGGCGAGAGCTCGAGATAGACCCCGAGCAAGGTGTTCGATGGGCTGCGGCAGGCAATGATGCGGATAGCACGGCGCCACCGGTTGCACATCATGTCTTGTCTCCGGAGAAACCGGGGAATATCCATGAAGGGTATGAGGAAGAATGGTGGGGCACCGGTAATGCCCTTGAGCCCCAGGAGACCCGTCCTGGAGAGAGAGGGTATTTTCAGTGGGATGCATTCGGAGCCAGTCGACCTCCTGGATTAGGCCCGAGCGTGCCCCCGCCACCACTTCATGAGAGCATGAAAAGAGAAAACCCCACGCGGGAAGCAAAGACACCTCAGACTGCTTTCAAGTTACTGAAGGATGCTCCTAAGCTGGATTTGTCAGCTGGTGGAGAGCCCTGGGAGGTTGGAATGACGGTGCATCAGTGGAGAGTTGAAACGAGGACGGTCATGACTGCTATCCATCCAATCTTTGCAGAGTACTTCGATAAGATCTACGATCAAGGGAGACAGCGCTATGAGGCCAAACGGCTCACTGGTTTGGAGGAACCGGTACCCGAGATTTTGGAATCGGAGGCTGAGATGGAGACTAGGCTTTCGCTGAATCTCTTGAAAAATCTTCCTTTGGCAGTTCGTCAGCCGGTGGTTGAAGGGTCGATGTCGAAGAATGTTCTTTGTATCTTGATGCTTGAGAGTCTGCATGAGCGGTACGCTCCAGGAGGCCGTGAGGAGTTAGAGTCCATCCAGCGGTATATGCGGCAGCTTCCGGCTGCTCAAGACTTCAAGGGTGCGATGATGACTCTTCGTAGGTGGAAGCTTGCGAAGCAAAGAGCTCAAGGCCTTGGCCTTCCAGAGCAGGCTCCTAATGAGGGTATTGCGGCGCTTGATGGTCTTATGAGGACACTTGAGAAGCGACACCAGCAGCTAGGCATGAGAATCAACATCCTGCGAATGCAGCCGGACATTGTGATCCCTACGAGTACTGGTCTTGACCGCTATGTATCATTGCTTGAAGTTGAGTGCAGAAGATTGGCGGCAGATCAAGAAATTCGGGATGCGCGTACGGCTCAAAGTAGCGAGGTTGTCGTGGCTGCAGAGGCGGCTGAAAAGGGCAAGGGTCAAGGGCGACTGTGCTTCTTTCACCTGAAACCTGGTGGCTGTTGGAGGGGTTCAAGTTGTCCATTTGTGCATCAGGATGCCCCGAAAGGAGGTAAAGGTAAAGAGAAAGGAAAAGGAAAGGAGAAAGGAAAACCCAAGGGAAGTGGAAAATCAGCCGATGGGACGAAGACCGAACCCACCCCAAAGCCCAAACCTGAAGCGAAACCCAAACCCAAACCCGAAGCAAAACCGAAGCCTAAGCCAGAGGCGAAGCCAAAGGCGGAGGTGAAAGCTGTGGTAGCGGGTTTGTTGGGGGTCGATGTGGGCCCTAGGGCTTCTACGGCTAGGGCTTCTACGGTTAGGGCTGTGGTCATGTCTGCCAGGGGAACGGGTCTGGAGCATGAGTCGTCTGAGTTAGAGAGTGATCATGAACGAGGGCTCAGGGCTGAACCTGCTGTGGCGACCGGCGTTGAGTCAGGTTCGGAAGGGGGCTCTGATCTTTCTGATGCGGGCCCTGCGCCTTCGAGCGGGACCACTAACCTTGAGAGCGAGCCTGAGAGTGACGAATCCGGGGAGAGAGAGCGGCCTCCTTTGTGGTATCTGGTTCTTCATGAAACTGAGTATGCTCTGCTGTCAAATGGGCCCTTCCAACTTCTGACACATGCGATTGCTCCATTTCAGCAGGTGAACGGGCCGAATTTGATTGCAGTAGGAATCTGGCAAATCCTTGAGGAGTTGGACTTTCAGCTTCCCATTGAAGACCTTCAGATAGGACTGAATCAGTACATCATCGAGGCGCATCAGACATTGTGTATGTACGAAGATGGGGCACTGAGGCCTGTGGTTCTGGTTCATGTCATTGATATGGACACAAATCGTGAGCAGATGCTTGCGCTGACAGAGAGTGGAATACCTCCTAGAATAGAGCGTTGGACCATAGAGGATGCTAGGAGGGGCATGCGACTTCAGGCGTTCTCAGGTGCTGAGGTGATGGCTTTTAGGGAAGAGAGTGATCGAGCCAAGGGTGCCCCGAAGGCGAAGGCTCCAACGGTGTCGAGTCCCCCGAAATATCCAGGTTCACTTCCGGAGGGACCCCCTGCTAAGGCGTCTGGTTCAGTTCCGAGGGGATCTTCTGCTGAGGCGTCTGGTTCAGTTCCAAGGGGATCTTCTGCTGAGGCGTCCGGTCCAGTTCCGAAGGGTCCATCTGCGAGCATTATGCATCTAGCAAAGTCTCCGCCTGCGAAGGCTTCAACTTCGGGTTCTCAGGGTTCGCATAGCCGGGCTCATTTTGCTGAGGGCAAAGATAGGCCACAGGTGATGGCGACGAGGGCATGCTTTGGACCAAAGGTTCTAGTCGATTCAGGGGCCAACGAGGTGATTAGGCCTCGTCCGGAGGGCTTTGCTGTGTACAAGTGCCGAAGGAGTCAAGTAGCCATGGCTTCAGGGGACGTTGTCAACGCATGGAGAACACGTGATGGTGAGCTCATGATTGGAGAGGAAGACGTTGATAACAGCGTAGATTGGATCCTCTCTGTCCGAAGGCTGCGAGGAATTCGGGGTGCTTTCGTATGGGATGAGTTAGGACCTAGGGTGAAGTACTTCGATGGTGAAACGGTGGTGACGGTTCATTGCTTTGAGCAGAACGGACTCCCATACATGTCGTGGGAAGACTTCAAGCCGATCAGGGTGCAGTTGGCTAGGGATTGGAGAGATAAAGGGAATGCCAGGGTGATGAAAGTAGAAGATGGAGCCCTTAAGATTCTTGATTACATGTCCACTGCAGATGCTGTTGGAGGCGCTAGGGCTCTCGAGGTGAGTGAAGCAACTCTGACAAAGTCGATTGAGGACGCGGGAGAGCGCAGGGCTGAAGAGCTTTGTGCAAAAGCACGAGTGACCTACGATGAGGTTTGGAGTGCGGTGCAACTTGCAAGCCTGGTGGAACGGCGATCCGATCGGTCGAAGCAGCTTGAAAGCGGGGAGGCCCATGCATTGCCTATGTGGACATTCGGGTTGTTTGTTCATGGAGGGGTGTTAGGGTTGACTTCAGAAACGCGTCGGCATCCATGGTTGGTGAAGCTCCTTTGCAAACTGGTTCGGCAGCAGCATCCTGATTTGGAATTTTTATCGGTGACTGTGGCAGTCAACTTGGTGTTCCGACCTCACAAAGATCGAAATTCGCTGGAGCGAGAGTCAGTGGTGTTAGGGTTGACGCGCTTTCAGGGTGGACAGATCTGGATTGAAGGAATTCCGGGGGAGCGCGGGAACAATGCAATAAGGCACATTGACAACGAAGGCGAGGCGAGGGCCGGAAGATTGCATGAGCTGTCGCACAAGAGTGTAAGGTTCAATGCAGCGGTTCGCACGCATGGGACGGAGCCGTTCCAGGGAGTTCGAGGTGTGGCAATTGCATATACACCACGGGGACATTTAAATGTCTCAGATGAGCAGCTGAAGGAGCTATGTGGCCTGGGATTCTTTGATGAGAGGCTACAGCAGTTCCAGAGCAAGGCCAGCAACATCAGGCACGGCAGCTGCAGGCTAGAAGCAGAGCTCAAGCAGGACAGCAACAGGCTAGAAGCGGAGCTCAAGCATGGCAACAGCAAGCTAGAAGCGGAGCTCAAGCATTGCAACGGCAGGCTAGAAGCAGAGAGTGAGTTCAGCAACGCGTCCGAAACAAGCAACGACAACCAGATTCCCCAGATTCCATCAACCGAACTAAGCCAGGGTTCTTTGGAGGATGATGTCGTTCAGGGCGAGCCGTATGGTGAATCAGGGTTACAGGACTTTAGGGATTTTTCCGTTCAGGGTTTAGGCACGAGTAGCGTGCAAAGCCCAGATGATGATGAGGGTTCGCGTGCCGAAGGGGTCATGGCATTTGAAGCTGTTGCGGAAGAGGTCATTGATCTTGAGACACCGCGGGAGCGCCCGGGACATTCCTTGAAGGACTACGAAGCTCGTGGTTTGCGCCGGCCGCATCGGAGAGTTACTGCTGATCAGATTTCCAAGGGAGTGCTTTCAATCGATTTGGCCGGGCCGTATGTTGCTGCGTATGACGGTACGAAGTATGCGCTTGTAGCTGTGTTTCGGATTGACGAGAGCACGCAGCTTCACTTTATGAGGCCTATGAAGAGGAGGCTTTGGGGTGAGATGTTTGCGGCTCTTCAAAGTATCTTAGCTCAGGTGTCAGCCTTGGGTGGTGAGCGGCCTCAGGTGGTCCGTGTGCATTCTGACAAGGCACGCGAGTTCTTGGCCAAGCATGTGGTCGAAGGGCTTAATGCTTTGGGGGTGTACAAAACGACTACTGCAGGGTTTGATCCGCAAGCGAACGGACTTGCCGAGAGAGTTGTGGGATTGATGAAAGAGCGAGCGCGAAGTTTCCTGATAAAGGGAAGTGTGCACAAGAAGTTCTGGCCTCTGATGATGGCTGAAGCTGCGAGACGGCAGCGGGATACAACAATGAATCGCAGACCTCAGGGCAAGCTGCCGGATCCTGGAGACTTGGTTGCTGTGAAGCGGCAGGATGTGGAGCCTTTCGGACCCAGGGTCGAAGCTGGCACATTTCTGTGTCAATCTGATACGGTGGTTCGAGTCTTTGGTGCTTGTGAACCGGGATGGTCAAGAGCACTTGATTACAACCCGTCTGCCAGCTGTGATTGACAAGAAGCCGGAGCAGTGGAGAACGCATGTTACGCCTCTGGGTGATCTAATCTGGGTGAGCTCTTCAGGGGAAGTTCGGGATGGAGAGGTTGTACGAGATCCTGGGGTAGACCTGGGGATGCTTACTGTGGAAGAAGAGCGTGAACAAGGACAGCATGCGGAGCAAGGGTTGCCGTTCGTGGCGCATGTTTGTGCCGACAGCCATTTTGAGGAGGAGCCAGTGAGTATGATCCCGGCAGTTCAGGAGCAGTCTGTGAAAGGCGGTGAGAAGGGTGACCGTTACAAGATCTTGTCGTATGAAGCTGAGCAAGAGATGAATCGAGCGGAAGTCAAGGTTGCTCAGTTGGTCACGGACACGATTGATGCGAGAATCCTTTCGGACCCTCGGACGCCTGCGGATGAGAAGCTGAAGTGGGTGAATGAGGGGTTGAGATCCGAGCTAGAGACACTTCAGAAGAAGGAGATTTATGATGAATGGGACGAGGCGGAAGTCCCGCCGGGAGCGAAGATTCTGCCTGCAAAAGTGGTGCTGACCAAGAAGCCCCTTCAGGATGATACAGAGGTTGATCCAACAGACCCTTTGAGCACTTGGAGAGCAAAAGCACGGATTGTGGTGTGCGGGAATTATGAGCAGAATACGTTTGGTCATGATCCTGACAACGCAAGCGCCAACCCGGCCATTGAGCACATCAGGTGGAGCGCAGCGTGCCTCGCTGATAATCCGGGCTGGACCGGACTGGTTCTGGATATCACGGCGGCATTTCTGAATGCAAGAATGGACAACGAAACAACTTTTGTCCGACCTCCCAAGGTCTTGATGAGAGAAGGTCTGGTGCCACCATCCAAGGTTTGGAGGCTTCGTCGCTTGTTGTATGGCTTGCGTAAGGGACCTAAGCTTTGGGAGGTTTGCAGAAATGAGGAGTTGGATGGAAAGATGTTCAAGAATGCCGAGGGCGTGATGTTTGTGCTGGATCCGATTTCGTCTGGTGTGTGGGCCATTAGAAAACAGGGAGAACCGCAATCGTTCTGCGGAATCTTTGACATGTACGTTGATGATGGCTTGATTGTGGGGCCCGTTGGACTGTGCACGGGTTTGGCGGAGGTGCTTTTAACAACTTGGCAAATGAAGATTCAAGGGTTTTTGCCGAGTGATGACTTGAAGGACGGCGAGAAGGTCATGATTGGTGACAAGCAGGTGGCTGTACGAGAAGAGCTTCAGTTCCTGGGAATGGTGATTAAGCGCACCAAGGACGGTGTGGCACTTCATCAGCGCCCATGGGTGGATACAGAATTGGAGCGGCGGGGCTGGACGACGGTCCGAGGCGCTGCTAACCTGCCAGAAGTGGTAGAAGGTCAAACAGAGCCGGTGCCCCGTGATGATGCGTATGGTGATGATCTGCATCGGGCGCAGTCGGAGGTTGGTTCTCTTTTCTGGCTGGGTTTGAGGACGAGACCGGACCTGCTTGCTACGGTTGGGGCTTTATCCTGCATGAGTACGGTGGACCCAAAAAGGACCTACAAGCTTGCTACACAAGTCTGGAGGTACGTGGCTGGAACAAGAACCAAGGGACTGTTCTTCAAGGCTGGGGTTGATTCTAAG